AGCTCTCACATCAAATGTTAACACGGCTCCCCCTTTCAACTTGTTAGAGAGTCGTTCATCTAGGTGCAAACTATGTATCAGTCTCGTATAGTTTTCTTCAATATATTCACCATTCTTCATCTGTACTTTGATTTTTTTATGGTTATGAGTGAATGTATCCGTTAACCCAGAATTTCTTTGGATTTTTTCCCTTTATATTATTGTCTATTATAAACTAGAAAATAGAAGATTCATTCGGACGTGAATGCAAATAGCCAAAGAAATTATTGTCTAATATAAACTAGAAAATACAAGATTCATTCGGACATGAATGCAAATAGCCGAAGAAATTACACTCTGCTCTAGTAAACTTGATTATGCCAAGGTCTTGTTTATTTGAAATTGGATTTTCTGTTTGGTTAGTTTTATGCTATTTAAAACTACACAGGACATTTATATGGACATGTCCAATACAAGATATTTTTATGACCGACTTTACTGATGGTTGGTGCTATGTCAATTTGTTCTTTTGAGGTAGAATTAAAAGAGGTTTTAATTTCTGAGTCCTTTTTTTCCACTTTCCTGTCTCTCTATGCTTTAGTTGTATTGCAAATAACAGGAAATACAAATCATAAACGAAATGAAGGCTAATGCCAAGTGGGGTAAATTATAGAGATAAAAGAAGTTGACCAAGAAGAAAAAATCCTACATTCTTGTCAATTTCCCAAGTCTAGTACTCTTCCTCTTCCCATCTAACATGGCGGTGGCATTAAAAACTTAATGCTTTTGTGACGGCCACTATACATTAATATTGTTCTACGTGAAAAAGTTTGGAAGTATTTTTAACATAAACGAAAGCGTTTTTAATGAAAGTGTTTTTAGAATCAATTCTTAGTAAAATGTAAATAAATCTTGGAAAAGCACTTGAAGTGCTTCCTATAAGAATCATATCCAATTAAATTTCACCAAATACATACGCATTCAGACATTTTAAAAACACTTCCAAATAAACCCTATTATGCATGCATATGGCTGTTTAATTTACTAGTAGTCCCTCACGTTCATGTTTTGTGTAACTTGTTTAAGGTCTACATAACTTCTGTTTGCAGTTGCTTATTCTCATAACCTTTTTCGGCTTCTTAGTTTAGGTTTTCTTAAACATAATTTTGGTTTTTTAAGTTGTATATTGTTTTGTTTGTTAAAAGGGTATTGGTTTTATGTTACGCATGACTAGTTGTAAGGGTTTTTTTTTTTTTTTTTATTCTAATCAGGGACGGTGGCCCTCAATGCCTTCGGGACACTGCATCTCGCATCATTTCACTCAGAAGAACTAATATTGCATAATTCTCTATTTTATTTGAAAGAAAGATTCTACTCATTTTCATTTTAATTACTTTCTTTTTCTATTCTCTGTTTTTTTTGGTCGACCCTTTTTCTATTTTCTATATATGAAACCATTTGGTGTGTTCAACTTGGTAGCTTTCTTAATGTCTATAGTGATAATTTCCTTTTCAGTAGTACTAGTAAAGTACTTTGCTGAAGGCTATATCGAAAAATAGTCTGGCGTAGTATAGTAATTAAGCTGTAGATATGATATCATTATTGTCAACTATGACCTAGATCAATTGATGTAGAATGTGATGTAACTTGGTGGTACTTGATTTTGATGTTCTTATGTACGCTTAAATGAAAAATAACTTCCATTAATTTTCATGCATAATTATATAATTACAATATTTAGGCATTGTTGTAAGTATCTTTTCAAGGGTTAATTTATCTTCCACTTTAACATAAACCTCTATATTACTCATCAAATGATAGCTTTTGATCCTAAACAAAATATGAAATTCGTTGGCACTTCGAAAAGTCATTTTAATCAACTAACTTAATGATCAAAGCTGTGTAATAGATATATAGATATATATATATATAGCTATATTATGAACTTAAAATGAACAATGTAGGACTAGACTAACTAGTGTTTGTCACTTTAATAAGTATTGAGAAATTGGTTCAAATAATAATGTAATCTCAATTGTTGAGTTGATCAAAATCAAATATATATCAAAAAATATTGAAGACATAAAGATTAATAGATCGAAATATGGTCCATATTTTGGGTTGGGTTTAATATTTGGTCTGCAAGCTAAAAAATCTGAGAAAATAAATTGGACATATTGGCTAATCAAATGGATGATTGATTGATACAACTTCAACGTGTCCAGTTCTGAATAGAGAAATTTTATGCTATAGTTGGTCACACAAATACTCATTGCTAGCAATAACAATGTATATTGCTAATTGCGTTCAAAGTGACCCAGTGAATAAAGACCAGACATAACCAGAATGTATATGGAGAAAAAGCTAGGGTTTTCTTCATTTAACAGCCAATTTATCTTTCAAGTGCATTTTCACCAACATAGGAGAGAACTCAGACCATGCATTTAACATTGGACATGACAGACAATATATGCAAAATCCTTTTCCTTTACACCCCATAATTTAACCCCAACACCCCCCCCCCTAAATAGTTCTCTTTTCTCTGTGTTGGCGGTCCCCACCCCCCACCCCACCCTACCACCACCCCCCCCCCCCCAACCACCCAGTTGTGCCGACGACCTCTTATAAATGACCAGAACGAGTTCGGTTACATGTCAGAGACGACGTATGGAGGGTGGAGCAATGGTGATTTTTAGCCACATATGTCTGAGACGACGTATCCTCCAACGTTCAATATATATATATATATATTTCAGCATCCTTCTTCTCTTTTTTTTTCAGATTTTTTGGACATGAACATTTATTTCAGTGTATAATAATAATAATAATAATAATAATAATAATAATGCAACTTCATCCTCCCAATTTAATCGCCTCGACTGCGACCAACCTTGCGTATTCAATGAGCTCCTGTCGCATTTTTTCAGCGTGTGGTTTGCATCAATTCGTATAAACTGGAAAATGAATTATTTAGTTTCACTCAGTTATGCAACACTTCACCGCTGCAGCTCTATCACTTTGTACTGCTCTTTCTGTTTCCAAACTCCACACCAGTTCAATGTAATAAATGAAATGAATAAGGATCTTTACGATGAATGCCTTACTTCATCTGTTTAAGTTCAAATTCAAGTTAAATGAAATCGACTTCTATTTTCGACCCGTGCTAGCATCACTCGTTAAGACTCCCGTCGTTGAGGTATGTGGATATCATAATGCATCAACAGCTACACACGAGTATGTAGGATGTATGCTAGCTTTCATATTGTCGATGCATGTGACGTATCAACATCTAATGGTCATACACGTCATGCTACTATAATGCTAGTAAAATTTATAATTCTCTTTGAAACCTAGCTCTACACTAAAATGTGTGTCGCAATGCTCTCTAGCATACCTATAGGGTTTCTTTTGGGGTCTAGTATTGAACTGAATTGCATAATTCACTAGATTTATTATATGTTAATTTCCAAATTTTGTCCAAATTGAAATCGATATCTGATTTTGAGCGGGGGCTAGTTGTGAATACATTCTAGATTGTTGAGGCATGTGTGTATTAGATTGCATTAATGGTGCACAATTAGTTTAGCGTGTTTACGAACAACATTATAAGCTTTTGTACTATTGATGTATGTGAGATTCTAACAGTCCACTGTCACACACTCATATATAGATGACTGATGCTAGCGTATACAATTATGTGTTAGCTGGGACTTATCTTTACCCTAAAATGTGTGTCATAATGCCCTAAACCCTACACGTAGTGTGAATTTGAAATATCATCCTCCCTTGCATCAAATTTGAGGGGGAACTTTGATAAATGATGAAGGGTCCACAGTGTAAGGTACTGAAAAGTCACTGCACTTGAATATAAAGTGGGTTGCAGATAAAAATAAATATGTTACAAGAATGGAGTGGCACCAATTATTATTCTACTCATCAAAAGCATTGAGATCATCATCATACATACATACTATAGAATACATCTTGCAAATCATTTCTCAAGCATATTTGGTGTCTCACAAGGAAAAGTCATAGATTTCTGTGGCCATGATCGAATTTGCGGTTTTGAAGTTTGGTAAAATGACAAGAGGGTCCATATCTTTAAATGAGTTCCCCAATCAAGAAGGATGCAATGACCTTACATATGTCTAAACTTCAAAGACTTACTCAGCCATCTATTCAACTTTGCAGTCAGACTTTCTCAGCTCTTTTTCTCATCTTGCAATGTTTTATGAGCTACTGGTTTGATTGATGCAAATGATGTTTTGGATGTTCAGGATAATGTTTTTTATTAGTTCAATTATGTTAAAAATAAATCAGATTAGAAATCATTTAAATGTTTAATTAATGCGTAAAAATTTCATAACTAAAGAACATGGTTGGTCTATTTATTTGTTTCCCTTTAAATGACTAAAAAAATTCATATTTGATTTAGGACATGGCCAATCTTTACTGGGGTGACGTAGAAAATTGATTGTTGTGATCATTGTACAACATTGCAGGATATGAGAATGAGAGCCTAGGAGGTAGAATGAGAATGCATAAGTATTATGAATACTAGTCCTAGGGGTACGGATCATTTTCGGGGTGTGATATCGGCACACCCATTTTTACTTCTCACACACTCTTCTAATTTTCGGCTGTCAAATCAGATGAATTGAAAAAGATTTAAGGACAAAATTTAACAAAGGGTGTGTGAAAAGTAAAAATGAGTGTGGATAGCACACCCCATCATTTTCCAAGTACTCTTCCTCTGTCAAGACTCATCTCAGTTTTCTAAATACTCTTCTTCTGTCAATACCCATCGGTAAGATGGGAGACAAAAGTTGCAGGAATGCAGCGATGAAGTAGTGAGGTGATGAAACAATAGAGGGGTTTAGGGTAATGCCGCAAAGGGTTGCCCAACAGCCCAAACTTTCCAGCCAGTGCCAGTATTGCATTCCTTGCAAAATTAAAACTAACAAAGAAGAGAAAGAAAATACAAAGCTAGAGAGGGAGAGACGATATTGACAAGTTTAAGATAAAACAATTCCGTTTCTTATTCATCACAAACAATCGAGTCCAACAACGTAGCTGCAAGTAATAGCTTAATTCTAAATACACAGGGTAAGAACTGTAATAAGTGACACTGCAGCTATCCACATCTCAAGCACACTTCCTGTCAACAATTTGGTTTCTTCACAATGAGAATGAGGTGATCAGATTCCTGAATTCAGCGCCCTACAGTCTTCATAAGAAACCTGCGTAGACAAACCGATATTAATACCAAGAAACAAGATCAGATGCATGCACTGCAGAAACCTTATAAACAAAGGCTTCTTGGGAACAAAATCTGGGTCAGAGTTGAAAACTCAGTTTTGTAGATTAACTTATTTAACTTTCGGGGAGGATTCATTGTTTTCATTCCAAAATATAAGTTCGACATTCAAACAACAAAATGGGACTATGATCGTCTCTTTTCCTTCATCTTAACCTATTCTCAACGTGATTGCAGAGCCTAACGAAGCACAAATATTACTTAAGCATGTGAGGGCATTACTGGCAACAGAAACATTAAAAGTTTAAGCAGCAAAGCGGATCCCAAAAGTCTATCTTTGCTCATTCAAATTAGGCAACCAAAAATTCTGATGGTCATGGTGCCTAGGTAATAGAGCAACAATCAAACATAACGCAAGTTGGCACCATTGAGAAACTACTACAAAATACCAGCTACTGAGTACTAACTTAGATTGCGAGTGGCAACTAAATCGAAACATGAACATTTCTAGTGTTCTAGTGAGCTTAACGGATTTCATAACTCTGAATTATCAATGTGTGGGCATTTATGGCAGCAGAAACATTACACGCTTAAGCTGCAAAGTGAATCCCAAAGTCTATTTTTGCACCTGAGACTAGGCAACCAATAATTTGATGGTCACGGAGCCTTGCTCTAGTGCAATATCAAAACTAATGCTAGTTCACAAGACTGACACGACGAACTACAAACCGCTGACTTAGATTGCTAGTGGCAACTACATCTAGGCCATTGCTCTATGACCGAGCTCCGAGCGTGCGATCTTCTTCTCTAGTAAAGGGATTGAATATTCATTCATAAACAAGATTTATTGAACAATGTATGGGTTTTTACTGGCAGCAGAACACTCGAAATTTAAGCTGCAAAGCGGCTCCCAACGTCGATTTTTGCACATTGAAATTAGGCACCCAATAATTCCATATGGTCATGGAGCCTAGGTAATAGTGCAGCAATCAAACCTAATAACAATTTACCATTGAGTTAAACTGGATTGGGGAACCAACAGAAACAACCAACCAAATCAACTTTCAATTTTCTGATCCATAAATTGAAAATCTTCTTTAAAAATTAAAACAACAGCAGCATTCATTCATTTGATTGACATTTGAACCACAAATTCGGGCTAGAAATGCAATATGATTAAGAAATTTGGAATTTTTGCTTCAAATTAAAATTTTGGGGCCACAAACAAATTCAAACCAAACAATAATTCTGTAAATTCAACAAAGATTGAAACTTTATAGATTGATAATACGATACCTTTGCAATCTGAATTTGGGAAGTAGTCCCAAACCCTAATTTGAGCCGCCAACACAGCAGAGGACTGAGAGGGGAGAGGACCGTTGGGTTATTTATACAGGTTTCTGAAATTAGGGCGTTGGCTGGAAAAGCCGCTTTATCCAACGGCTAGAGGTAGAAGCCGCGTAATCGTACGGTTAGTATTGAATTTCGTCGAGGGCCAACAGTTAATGGTGGGCTCTCTTATGTTATTGGGTTTCTTGCTCATGCTAATTCAGTAGAGAATTGGGCCTTTTGCTAAGTGGGTAACTCATGGTTTTGGGCTAAGAAATGGGCTTTAATTTGAATTGGTAATGCAGCCCATTTTGACTTGAGGAGATAAGTTTCTGTCACGAACTCACGGTTGTGCCTCTCTCGACTTTTCTCTATCTCTTCACGTAATTTTACATTTCTTTGTTCATGTCAGGAAATAACTTCTATGTTGCGAGTGCAATGCACTCTCTTGAGTTTTCTCGGTCTCTATCTTCAGTCTCCAAAAATATTTTTCTTCTCACCTGATCGATTATTCGAGGGCTTCATCAGTCTTAACAGTCTTAGCTCAAGCAGCATGATATTTGAGGGTTAAGGAGGGCGATTTTCTTTGTTGCCTACAAGCCCTGAGTGTCGTTGCACAATGATCTTTGTATTCGATCGATTCAACGCATCAAAACTGGTGAGCGATAGCCATTAGGTTTGATCCAACAACTTAGAAAATGTTGACACTCAATGCTTGTAGATACCAGAGAAAAATTGTAAGAACAGTAAAGATTTTAATCTACGAAAATAAAAATTCAAACTTAAGTACAAAAGAGTAAGTACACTCTTAAATGACTAATCTTGTCTGCATCTGCTCCACCATTATAACAATTGATTTGCTTAATTAATTTTATATATATTAAATGAGCATGTAGACGATAATGCATGCATGCAGCGTGCAGACATATATTATTGTGAATTTTAAGGCATCATTTTGGTCATATTTTCATTTTTTTTAATATTCATATCTAATGATTGCTCTCTTCTACTAATTTAGTATTCGTATGCCTTGGAAACTGTGAGACCTTCCAACAAAAGTAATAAGCTCTATACGGTCTAGCTATGGAAGAGACAAACCGAACCATGAATGAGGATTCTCTCTTGATCCTCTTTGTGAGGATCTCGGACATCTTTAAATCGTGTCTGTTCATCTTATATCGTGCGGTTATTTTTTATCAGATACTATTCATATTTAATTTTAAACAAAAATATTTAAAATAATTTATGACCGCACGATGTACGATGAACAGACACGATTTGAGAATCCCCATGATCCTTACAAAGAGGATCCGGAGAGGATCATCATTCCCGAACCACCATGGGGTGATATGGTAGTTAGAGATGAATTTCAAACTCGTATTTCACACGGTATGTTCTGGGTTAGATTTCTAGCGCTGTGTGAAATGCACAATGATGGTTATGAAAGGCCGAAATGCCTCTATGAGTCTTCACAACTCTCCAAAAAGGCAGATTGCCGTGAACAAAATCACGAGTTGATCCCTTTTTAGAAAGAAAAAAAATAAGAGACAAACCGACCATCCAGAGTTGGCTACAAGATAAGATTCCTTTGTCTACCCATATGAGTGTACTTCAGTTGCAAAAATGGTTTAAGCAAGGTTTTAGGCTCGTAGCTTCAGAGATCAAGAACGTTTATCTTTGCACTCGAGTTTCATGTTGAACCTTCTTTTCTTTTTATTAAGTGCTGGTGTAAAAATGGAAAAAGTATAAAGATAAACTATGTACGGTTATATTTCTCTAACGATCAGATATATTCTTTACAAAAATACAACATAGTAGATACAAATATATTTTGACAATAATTTGGTGTCACAACCGTACCTTATTGATTTCATTTTCTTTAGGAGTAAGTTTAAATTAGGTCCCAAGTTCTTCTTGTCAATAGCACAAACAATAGAAGGGTTAATATAGAATACAACAACAACAACAAAGTCTTATTCTATTAATTAAGGTCAACTATATAAATCTTAGAACACTGTTGCGCTCGGTTTTGCGTTAAGTCTTCCGTTAGCTTCAAGTACACTATATTTTTTCTTAAAGTCTCTTTACAAGTATTTGGTATGGTTTGGGGTTGAGGTGATTTTAAAAAAAGTTGGGGGCATTTTTGTGTTTGGCAAACTTCCAATTTCAACTTTTTTTTCACAGTTTTGGGTGAAAAAAAAAACTAAAAAATAGAAGCAGCAAAAGGCAGCTTTGAAAAGTTGGCTTTTCAGCTTCTGCGCAAACCTCTAAAACACAGGTGAACAGTACCCTTTAATGAAAGTTTCTGGCAATCCTACCCTTCATTCATCTCTATCATCCCCTTTCTGCTCCTCCTAGCTTCATCTTTACCAAAGATCTTTGAAGATTTGTGTCGCCCCCACTGTGAATCTACCTCGTCCCTCCTCGTGAAAATCTGAATCGTCACTACCAGAGACGCACAAGGGTCGCCAAGAGGAGAGCCTTAGACTGTTATCATCACAAATTAACCAAAGTTGTTATACTCAAATGTGCGTGAAACTAAATCAGAATTAGCAGAGGAAGATTGTGTGTTCTGAGAAACCATGAATTCGCAGAGGAAGATTGCGGTGGGGAGGTCTTTCCTACAACCTTACGGCGAGTGAAGGAGGAGTGGAATCCGGTTTCTGGGTTGCGGGGAGCTGAGTGAGGGAGGAGTGGAATCGGGTTTCTAGGTTGCGGGGAACAAAGTGAGGGAGGACTGGAATTGGGTTTCTGGGTTTTCTTCTTCCTGATCTTCCTTGGGGTCCCATGGATAAGCTTGGTTTTGGGGAACGAAGAAAAGAATATGATAGAGAAGCAGCAGAGGAAACGAAAAGGGCAAGGAAGACACGGGGATAAGGGAAAGTGCAGAGAGAGAGAGCTGAGAGTTTTCAAGATAGTTCTGCAATGTAGAGGGAAAGGAAGACACGGAGATAAGGGAAATGGGGTGTAGGCCCCACGACCACACAAAATCCTCACATAAAAATAGTAATATTAAATAAAATATCATAATAATAATATAGTATTATACTCTTTTTTGTCATTTCACATAGTCAGAGTTGTTTTACATAAAAGTTTACCAAACACTATCATACTACTTTTTTTTTTTTTTTTTTTCCAAAAGCACTTTTACAAAAAAGTTTACCAAACACTCTACTGCTTTATTTCACAGCTGCTTATTCTCACAGCACAGCATAAGTAATTGTTTTTCAAAGCACATCAATACCAAACCAAGCCTTCCTCTACCTCTTTTACAGTGAATCTCTGTCTCATAGTAGTATTTTCTAACCAAAACATGTATAGAATATATGTGACAAACCAAAGGCCAAAAAAACTAGTCACACACAGAATACGTGTTTGTGTGGCTCTTACTGTTGCTCTCCACTACCTTTTGTGTGGTTTTTTCTTGTTTGGATTGTTTCTAGCCCCATTTGCTACCCAGCATGTTTAGGGTGTCAAGTGTTAAAGTTGAACGACACCAGGTAGGATTTGATAACATCTTTCTATTAGGATCGATAGGCACCCATGTGACCAGGCGGCTCTCAAGTTTCACCATTGATATAGAAGAGTTCGTATGTACATGAACGACTAAGAGTTGCACACAAGTATATGAATGATTGCGCTGCTGATAAAATTAATTACTTTTTTTATTTATTTTTTATTTATCAATAATAGAATCAATGAATAAGAGCCACACACACATATTTAAACGATTATGCCGTTAGCAAAAACCGTGACCAAAAATCATACACACGTATTTAAACGATTATACCTTCATCGAACATACAATGAAGAAGAGAATTGTTATAAACAAAGACTCGAGAGGTTCAGTTGGGACAGTTGATTTGAACAGCTATCCAACATTTTTAATTAAAAGATCAAATGGGATCATAAGTCATAGCGTCCGGCGTCCGATGGAGAGACGTTGCCAATTTTCTACTTGTAAATTATATTTCCCATGAATGCATGGAATGGGGACATATTTTGACAATTTCAACCCTCGATTGATTTTCTTGTTGGTTTTGTTACTTGTTACTTGCAATATGGAAAATTTTTATGCGACATATTTGCACTAATATCTAATATTATCTTTCACTTATCTACGACCTTTATATGGATTGTTTGACATTTTATATTTTGACATAATATTTTATAATATTGGCACAAAAAGTAACGTTAAAATATGAGCGACACAGAGTCTATGAAAAGTCTGACTTTGAGAAAGTCTTATAAGCATTTTTCCTGTAGAGTGTTGCTAAAGGATAGTGCTATTTACACTTTTTACCTCTCATACACATTTGTTAATTTTTTGTCATAGATCTTCTTCAGTCCATTCGATCTGACGATTGAGAATTGAGAAGGGTGCTTGAAAAGTAAAAATGAGTTTGTGAAGAGCACTAGTCGTTACTAAATTGTGTGGCTAATAATATATTAGTGATTGTACTGGAGACAAATAATCAAACTTAGAATCTCATATGCAAAAGTAAATGCTCTTAATAACTTCAACTATAATGTAAAAATATCACAAATTTTCTTCCATATATTATAGTAGAACCTTGACAATCAATATGCAATAAAATTAATAATCTTAATATCTTTTCTTAAAGTTTCGTTACAAGTCTTCATCTACCTTTTTTATGGTGAATCTTTCTCTCATAGTTGTATCTTCTAACAAAAACATCTATAGAATATATATGGGACAAACAAAGACCAAAAAATCTAGTCACACACAGAATACGTGATTGTGTGGCTCTTAATGTTGCTTTCCACCACCTTTTCTTGTTTGGATTCTTTCTGGCCCCATTTGCTACCCAGCATGTTTAGGGTGTCTAGTGTTCAAGTTGAACGAATACCAGCTAGGATTTGATAACATCTTTCTATTAGGATCGATAGACACCCATGTGCCCAGGCGGCTCTCAAGTTTCACCATTGATATAGAAGAGTTGGTATGTACATGAACGACTGAGAGTTGCCCACAAGTATGTGAATGATTGAGCTGCTGGTAAAATTAATTACTTTTTTTTTTCTTTGATCACTAGCAGAATCAACGAATAAGAACCACATACACATATTTAAACAATTGTGCCGTTAGCAAAAATCGTGATCAAAAGTTACACACATGTATTTAAATGATTATACCGTCATCGAACAGACAATGAAGAAGAGAATTGTTATAAAGAAAGACTCCAGAGGTTCAGTTGGGACAGTTGGTTTGAACAGCTATCGAACATTTTTAATTAAAACATCAAATGGGATCATAAGTCATAGCTGCGTCTGATGGAGAGACGTTGCCAATTTTCTACTTGTAAATTATATTTCCCATGAATGCATGGAATGGTTGAATGGGAGCAGACATATTTGACAATTTCAACCCTCGATTGATTTTCTTGTTGGTTTTGTTACTTGTTACTTGCAATATGGAAAAATTTTATGCGACATATTTGCACCTAATATCTAATATTATCTTCACTTATTTACGACCTCTCTATGGATTTTCTGTTACTTTATATTTTGACATAGTAGTTTATAATATTAGCACGAAATTTTTTAAAATGTGAGTGACACAGAGTTTATGAAAAGTTAGATTTTAGGAATGTTTCCTTAGCATTTCTCCTGCAGAGTGTTGCTAAATGATATTGCTATTTACACTTTTTTTTACCTCTCACACACATTTGTTAATTTTTGGCCATAGATCTTCTTTATTCCATTCGATCCGACGACAGAAAATTAAGAAGGGTGCGTAAAAAGTAAAAATAAGTGTGTGAAGAGCACTAGTCGTTATTAAATTGTGTGGCTAATAATATGTTAGTGATTTTGGGGACAAATAATCAAACTTAGTATCTTATATGCAAAAATAAATACTCTTAATAACTTCAACTATAATGTAAAAATATCACAAATTTTCTTCCATAAAATGAAATAATGTAGTACATCGAACAATGTAAAATATATCTTTCAAAAAAATAAGGAGGTTTATTTATACTAAGATAGTTGGTAGAGATACGTGTTGCTAGTCGGATTCCACGTCGGCATCAACCCAACTGGACCAAGTCGGTAAATAAAACCAAAAAATTCTCCCAGAAAAGAAAAGGCGCGTATTAAAGCGGTCAACACATTACTCACTCTCCTCCATTTCTTCGCAACCTCGTTTCCTGGCAAATCCCAAATCCTCCCAGAAGCTCGATCCATCACTCACTCATGGCCGTCTGCACGTATCCTCCTAGGGTTTTCGCTTCCTCCCAACCCGGCGCCCGCCCCAGGCTTTCGGGTCGGGTCGACCCCACAGCGTCGGTTTACAGGCTCTCCTCTCCCATCCTCAGATTTCCCCCCAACTTCGTCCGCCAGCTCAGCACCAAGGCCCGGAGGAACTGCAGCAACATCGGCGTCGCGCAGATCGTCGCCGCCTCTTGGTCGAACAACACCCCCAACTCTGGCGTGCCGGCGGCGCCGTCGGCTACTGCCGTCGATGCCGCCGCCACTTCCGCCATTCCCGTCGATCCGGCCCAGATTTCGGGCGGTGACGAGGTGGCGGTGTTTGGAAATGGTGTACAGTTGGGGGAGGCCGTGCCTGATTTGAAGGAGGCCTCGTTCTTGAGCTCCGATGGGAGCCTCGCGATTCATGCTGGTAACTTAATTACAATTTGTGGGTTTTTTTTTTAATTATAATTTGCTTGGACTATTGGCTTATTGTTCCAATTAAGAAGCTCATATCTTGATAATTATGTGGTGATTAGCGTGTGAGTAAAAATTGGGGTTTTTTTTGTTTTGGATTTGTGAAGGTGAAAGATTGGGACGCGGCATAGTAACTGATGCAATTACAACCCCAGTGGTTAATACTTCTGCCTACTTCTTTAAGAAAACGGCTGACCTCATTGATTTCAAGGTATGCAATCATGCATTTCATATATATACGCATATATACATATACACACACATATATTATATCTAAGTTTTAACTTTCTTACGATTTTGTGCATATTTTGGGTGTAACCTTTTCTGTAATAGCTGCAAAAGTTTGAAACTTTAAGAGATAAGACCAAAAAGAATTTTGTTTTATGTATTGGGTTGCTGGTGTGGTGATTGATGTTCTGTGATGGTTTTGACTTATTGTCCTTTTACCTTGTTGCAGGAGAAACGCGCAACAAGCTTTGAATACGGGCGGTATGGAAATCCAACGACAGTGGTTGTCGAGGAGAAGATCAGGTTTGCATTTTCTTTCGTTCTCTTTTGTATTTAAAGCCTGCCTTTTGTGTTGGAATCTATACGTTGAATGCTTATTGAGGCCATGTTGTTGTGGTGATGATACAGTGCACTTGAGGGAGCGGAATCGACAATGATATTGGCATCTGGAATGTGTGCTAGCACTGTCATGTTGATGGCATTGGTTCCAGCTGGTGGGCATATTGTGACCACCACGGACTGCTATAGGAAGACTAGAATTTTCATTGAGACCATTCTTCCAAAAATGGGGATCACGGTAAATTATCCTGTTCTCAATTTTTTGGAATGATTTGTTATTCGAAATCTATAGTAACAGGATATAGGTGTTACTTTTCAAAGTTCAGGTGAGGCTTTGATAGTGTTATACTTATATTTATCACTCTCTATGCAGGCCACAATCATTGACCCTGCTGACGTGGGAGCCCTGGAAACTGCATTGGAAGAGCACAAAGTCAGTAAGAAAAAAGTCTTTAGCTTGCTTTTTTTAAGTTCACTATAACTCAACAAATAATTGACCCTGATTGTTTGTGGAATTTACTTTGGTGCAGGTGTCTCTTTTCTTCACAGAGTCTCCTACTAATCCATTCCTCAGGTGTGTTGACATTAAGCTGGTTTCAGAGCTTTGCCACAAAAAAGGGACGTTGGTCTGTATAGATGGCACTTTTGCCACACCACTCAACCAGAAAGCCCTTGCCCTTGGGGCAGATCTTGTTGTGCATTCTGCAACGAAATATATCGGTGGCCACAATGATGTAAGTCAGCACATGTCGAACCTAATCATATGAAGGAGTGTGAATACTCAGGTTGTCAATTATTGTAAATACTAAGCAAGTATCAATATCTTATTTCAGGTCCTTGCTGGTTGCATTAGTGGTTCTATGAAATTGGTTTCAGAAATTCGTATTTTGCATCACATTTTGGGTGGTGCTCTCAACCCGGTGAGTCATGTTTGTGGGTTATATGTGTTTCTCGTCTCTTATTATTGTCGACTGTCATTTTGAGTAGATTGGTGATGTTAATTTGTACGCCCATGAAGAATGTAGAACAAATGATTCCAATCCCACTTATTACTTTTAATGATTTAAGTCTGACATGAATTTTAAGCTTACATGATAATGATATTTGTTTTTTTTCTTCATCAACAGAATGCTGCATACCTGATCATTCGAGGCATGAAGACCTTGCATCTTCGTGTACAGCAACAGAATTCAACAGCATTGAGGATGGCCAAAATTTTAGAGGCGCATCCTAAGGTATGTGTTTTGTAAGCTTAAGTAGCATTAAATAATGGGAGGCTAACTAATTAGGCCACTGGTGTGTCATTATTGTTGGAAAGATTATAGTACAAAATTTTATGTTGGCATTCATCACTTTCTATTTGAAAACTAATGTTATTGAAAATGTTATTGGCAGGTGGCGCATGTCTATTATCCTGGCTTGCCTAGTCATCCTGAACATCAGCTTGCCAAGAGGCAGATGACTGGTTTCGGTGGTGTTGTCAGTTTTGAGGTGAACATTCTCGGCGCTGTCCCTTGTTGGTTTGCTGTTATTATGTACATTTGGTTAATAATATTCCTTGATTATGCAGATTGATGGAGACTTGACGAGAACAATTAATTTTGTGGATGCACTGAAAATCCCATATATTGCCCCATCCTTTGGTGGCTGTGAGAGCATTGTGGATCAGCCAGCCATAATGTCTTACTGGTATTCCCTCTAATCCTTTATCTTCTAATTCCTTATCTTATGGTGGCTGAATAAATTTGACGTTGTTATGCTATGTGGTTGAGTCTGATAAATTGGGTAGATCTGTGATCTTGACATATCACCATATCGAGTCAATCCAGGTAATGTGTGTAGATCCCTAGTTTCGGGGTTTTAGTCGGAAAGTCAATTTCGTAACCAAATATCAGGTGCTACATGGAAGTGTATTAATTGGTTAAAAATATGTTTCTGGTAAAAGAAAAATTGTTACTATGGAAACATGATGTAGCCTGTATAGATGTCTACATGTTCTATTCGTGTAGCAACATTTAAAGCATGTTATGCGAAGCTTAACCAACTAACGTAGCCGAAATTATTTAAGTTGAACTGTTGAAGTTTACGGTAATGGATGTTTAGTTGAGCACTGTTTGGTCCTTTATACATTGATATTGCTTGATTAATATAGGCGGGCTGTAGCCACGGTTAAAAGCCAATGATTTCTTCTGATTGCGGTGTTTTGATGCTCTTGAAACAGGGATCTCAGCCAGTCAGATAGGATCAAGTACGGGATCAAGGATAACTTGGTCCGTTTCAGCTTCGGAGTCGAAGACTTTGAAGATCTCAAGGCTGACATACTGCAGGCCCTGGAGACCATATAGAGCGTGGCCCGCCTAATAGTAATATGCGGTTTTCTGTTTTATTTCTCTTTTCCATTGTCGTTGGTGCTTGAATTGATTTTGATCACCAAATGCTCTGTTCGGATCCAGTCGTTGGGTCGTTGTCGACTCCATCCGGACCCTAAGCTTTGTCTGGTTTTCTTTTGCAACTACCTTTTCCCAATACCTTTTCATTCCAATATGACTATGCTAGCTTTGTTTTTTCGTGTTTGGATGATTTGAAGTTGAATGACAATTTTAGAATTGTTCGAAATGTTTTTCGACGAATGTGAAGTTATAAACCATGGTTGATTTTGTATTGTGACCCTAGCGACACGAGTAAACAAGATATACGCAAGAGTCAAGGATGGCACTTATTTTAGGGCACATAATGTTGGGCGGTCACACCACGTGTAAAAATTGAGTGCAGCGAAGATAAGAATGTTTCGTTGGATGTGTGGGCACATGTTAAGAGGGAGGATATCTGAGGAAACTAAAAGTGTTAGCAATTGAAGATAAGATGAGAGAAAAACGGTTAAGGTGGTTTGGAGATGGAGACTCGTGGCAAATGAGGTAGGAAAAGATCTAGGAAGACTTGGAAAGAGACTTGAAGAAAAGATATATAGAATACTTGAAGCTAATAGAAGGCACGACACAAAATTTAACGGCTGCAAATTCCGATACCTAAGGTGCATCGAAGCATGTTAGAATTTTCGAGATACGATTTGGAAACTCTCAAAGTTGTCATAAGTTAGAGAATTGTGTTAAATTATCAGAGAGACGGGCCAAATGCCCACTTTTATAAACATCGATATTGCCTTGTCAATTACCACTGCATAGTACGACATGTGTGTAATTTTATAACAAAAGACCTCGTGTTGGTTGGAGCCTTCATTCAAAGTTGTCATGGTGACGGATTTATCAAATTGAACGTTGAAACATTCTTTGCAGATTGTGGAGGATAAGAATAAGCGGCAGAGGAGTATCAAAATTCAGTGCAAAATTTTGATTGGATTTTCCAAACAAAATCTAACATAAAAAACAATCAGATTAAAACACATGGAGAATATTCTGATACGAAGAAAATGCCAACCCAAATACTAGGAAAAGAAAGAACAATCCAAATCCATATCAACAAGAAATGCACTTAGAAAACTTCCCACCACCTTTCCTTCTCACTTTCCAAATATTCCTAAAATATTCCTACCACTTGGAGAAATATTCTCAGATTATCTATATTAAAAATTGCTCTCTCTTAATATAAATTAAGTCAAATTATGAATCATTTGATTCAGAAACAGCAAATCCTGTGAGAATTTAATCCACCAGTGTTTGTTGAAAAGCGATGAAATTCGGGAAGGAGTTCAGGACCCACCTGGAAGAGACACTCCCGGAGTGGAGGGACAAGTTCCTTTGCTACAAGCTCTTGAAGAAGCTCCTCAAGGGCTTCCTCACCACCGCGGCCGTTATTGCCACGGTGGATTCCCTCCATCGCCACCTCGAGTTTCAGCCGGCATATGTGCATCCGGCCGCTGCTGATGAAGGTGGCGGGTTCCATCCTTTAGCGGGACTCCAATATTGGTTCGTTGCGATTTTGAATAAGGAGCTGTATAAGTTAAACGATTTCTATATGGATAAGGAGGAGGATTTCGTTATACGATTCCAGGTTCTTATGGTTGACCTTTATTTTCTTGAATTTGCATGTGTATATACATATATATGCGCTTTAATTTTGTTGGGTGGTCCATAGATTTGGCCTTCATGTTATGGATGCTACAAAAATTCAATCTTTCGCTTTTTGTTAACGGATTGGATTGGATTGGATAACTCACTATATTTATGCATTTAGTATGTCAAATAAAGAAATGGAAATTTTGTCCGAGTTGAAGGTAGGATTCGGAGGGAGAAGTTTCTCTTATGACGGGAATTCGGAATATGCATCCATTTAGTGAGTTATCCAATTTAATCTTAGACACCAAATGAGAGCTTAGGATCTTAAGATGACTGATAGGTACAAGTAGGAGGAGAAGGATGGCATCTGCAAACAAGTGCATTTTAGCTAAAACAAAAATGAGACATTCATGTCCGAGGGACACCGGAAAGTGAAACTATTGAAGTTAGGAGTTGAACTGTTAGTTAATTCGGGCGGTCTTGTGAATGTGAAGATGGTTATGAGTGAAATTACAGCGATACGAGACATGCCATTGTTATCTGTATTCGTTTTTAGGCTAAGGATTTTTGAATATTTTGTGAAAAGGTATAGATAATGCAGGAAAACAAAGGAAGTTTTAACCATTTCGTCATGACCAGGTCAAGTTTCGAGTCTCAACTAGTTGAATTTTTCTTTTGATCATTAAAGTCGAGTACTAAGATATCTATCATGGATCAACGAACAATGTGTAAATCGAAGTCTGTATTTTTTGGTGCTTGTTTCACTTTTTTTTTCTTTCCTGGTTCGCTGCTTATGTTGGTTGAAAATTGTAGAGTTTTTTGGTGTACTAGTTAAGTGTCTGGTAGGAAAATCATTATGATGGGAGCAATGTTCTGGTCGGTGCAGAGTCATCTGCACAGCACGAATGTTGCAATGTGATATTTTGAATGAGCAGGCTTCAAGTACCAACTATCGTTTCTCTTTTCTCATCTGCAAACGGCAACATATAATGACAGGAGCTGAAAGGAAGAATCGAGATCGTCAGGGAACGGAGCAGCCGGGGTGGAGTTTTTACATCAGAGACCGAGTTCAGCAAAGAAGTGATGGACATCCGTAAGGACTTTGTCACCATTCACGGGGAGATGGTGCTTCTCAAAAATTATAGCTCGTTGAATTTTGCGGGTACAGCAGCTACTTTTCACCTTCCTTCCATGTTTAACCTGTATTGTACAACTGTTAGCATCAGTGAATTTCTTCATTCTATATCTGCGTTATCTATTGCTAAAATCAGCTGTGTCTTCTGTCTCAACAGGGGTTGTCAAAATTCTAAAGAAGTACGATAAACGAACTGGAGGAGTATTGCGTTTACGTTTCACGCAAACGCAACTAGCTCACCAGCCTTTCTTTACAACAGAACTTCTGACGGGGCTAGTCCGTGAATGCGAGGCAAATCTCGAGCTTCTCTTCCCACTGGAAGCAGAAGTCATTCAAGGTACACCAACCACACAAGATGAAACCACCCCAGACACAAGTCATTCAAACCCACAATCGAATCATTCGGCAAATATTGCATGTGAGACACCTTCAAACATGGAGGCAAACATGGATATATATCGTGGAACCGTTGCTGCAATGAAGGCCATTCAAGGCCTTCAAAAACCAAGCTCCACTTCCGGTCCATGCTTGCTTTCAAATCACTTTAGAAGCCAGGATGAGGAGAGCACTGGTGCTGTCACTGAAAACTCTACTTCAAACTCTGTAGCGAGCTGGCAAAGCGAAGAGGAGGGATGACCAGTTATAGCAGCGCTTATCCTGTCGGTTTCTGCTGTACGTCCTCCGTGCGTAGTTTTCCAAATAGCATTTGCTTGAAATTTGTAATGTTGTACTAAATTCTGCTCTTCTTTGTTATCTTCCTTTTTGGTGTATGCGTAGCAGTTTTTTTTTTTTTTTCGAAAACTATGCCTAGCGACTTTGGCACACCTTATTATACATAAGAAGAAAAGAAGTGCGTAGATTATTTTTATTTATTATTGCCGTTTTGTAGCATAGCACAGTAAAAATGACAACTTTTTTTTAATAGCCTATAACTCCAACCACAATACGAGAAATTTTTCAGTGTCACACGATCTGCATACCAAGTGTTATAATATTAGTTGAAATTTTTTTTTCAAGTATCCAAACACTTATATTATAGAAAGTTTTAACGAAACATTCTCGGTACTATTTACTTTTAACAAAAAATCACATTTTTATCTTTCCTTAGTACTATTCACTACACCTTCGTTTGTCATTTTTGATTAAAACTAATTTTTTTTTTTTTTTACTTTTCATTAGTTTTCTTTATACTATAATATTTAGCGTAACTAGGCCGTGTTTTTGACATATTAAAAAATCTCTCCTATTAAAGAAGTCTCGTCCCTCATAGTTATCAATTGACTAAAGAATGTCTTCATAGTTATCAGGTGACTAAAGGATGCCTTATCACCTAGCATTAAGTTTGATCAAAATTTGCGACGCATCCCGTAATATCAATTCAACTGTTTGATTAAAATTTGGTTATCTGGTGACCAAGAAAATATTTATGCCACTGGAACCCAATTGCCAAGGAGACAAATTTGAAAAGAAAATCAAAGTCCCTAGCCATTCAAAATTTGCACTTCTTTGTTGGGTCCTTTCCAAATTTATTGATGTTCTTTTTTGGAAGACAGATTAAAGGCTGCGGACCACTTGGTGGCCTCCTCCATTTTTATATATTTTTGGATACCAGTCCACAGATTTTTTGGGCCCCAAATTAACTGCAGCGATTGAATTGGGGTTCAAGTTGGGTGCTGAGCTTGCAAAAACTCTGCTTCAAGACATGGACGTAGCCACGTTGGTTAGAGCGGGATGTGTTATCGTTATGCACCTGAATCCTTTTTTGCAGTTTAGATTAGTGTAAAATAGAATATCGCTGGTATGGGAAAAAAGTTGGAAACAAAAACGAAGCAAGATAAGGTATGTTCACTTTCCTTTTTGTTCACTCTTCTAAACAAAAATGAAGAGAACAATCACAACTTTGAAACTAATATGTGATGAGACATGTTCAGCTGCTCCTGGTGTAATCACGGTCACAGTTGAAGGGTAGGGGTGAAGACTTGAACACGCGATACGTTCCGACATTGTTCATTGAATGGTTAGCAGCAGGGCCGGCCCTGAGAATTTGGAGGTCCTAGGTGAGCCTTCGAAGTGGGGCCCTAAAATTCTCTGATCTCCGGTTATTTGTATATTGATTTGTATTAAAAAAAAATTGCTAAATACATAAAAAGTTCTATTTTCACATCAAATATCATTAAAAATTAATATCAAAACAAGATAAATACACAAAAATTATTTAAACATTACACAATTCAGGTTTTTAGACACAAATGTACTAAATGTTTGCAGTCAAGAGTTTAAGATTAAGAGTGCAGAAGAATAAAACTTGATGATCAAGAGAGTAAATAATAATAAACTTGATTGACGAGTATAATAAATTCAACGCCAATTGTTTCTCTTGTGTATTTTTTTCCCTTCTAAAATCAACATCACACCAACGAATTGAATATTAAAATAATCCATTGAATAAAAAGTTATTGAAAAGAAAAATATATAATTCAAAGTTTTTATTACCTTAAAGTACAATCTTTAAGACCATATGATAGTTTGTTTAAACATTCAATAGAAATTGAGAGAATGGAAAGTTAGTTCAAACATTCGATAGAAATGGAGAGAATGAGAAGTTGAAAGAAAAAAGATTGCAAAGAGACTTGAGTTTTATAACTTTATATGCATTTGGACAGATGGATTGGGAGTTGACAGATGGATTGGTAGTAAATTTGAAAAACAAGAAAAATCTAGTGACTAAAAGAGGCAGCTTCGTGTTTTGAACTCAACACCCAAAGAAAAATGTAGCCAACATTTCCATTGCACTAACAAATGACTTATGATATTTTCTACTTTTTTTTGTATTTATATGTTAATTACAGGATATAAAATTTTTTTGAGGGCCCTTCCGAAGTGGAGGCCCTAGGCGGGCGCCTACTTGGAGTACCCTCATGGCTAGCCCTGGTTAGTAGTCGATACCAGTTCAAGTTGTTCGATTTGGAGAATTTCTGAGGAGGAGTAGAACATACCGAAAGAAATTCCATATGCCACGACGAATGATCTCTAAGCAGGCAACTATTGCAATCAAGGCTGTTCTATGGACGAAAAGCCAGGAATATTCGAGGTAAGATGTGTAGACACACGTGAAAGGATAAGATTAAGAATGAGATACCCGAGGTAAAGTAGAAGTGGCAGCAATTGAAGATAAGATGAGAGAAAATCGATTAAGGTGGTTCGGAGATGGAGACTCATGGCAAAATGGGTAGAAGAAGACCTATGAAGACTTGAAAAGAAACTTGAAGAAAAGATATAAGGTATTTGCAGCTAACGGAAGACATGGCACAAAATTTAACGCCTGCAAATTCCGATACCTAGGGTGCATCGAAGCATGCTAGAATTTTGAGATACGAGTTGGAAACTTCCAAAGCTATCATAAGTTAGAGAATTGTGTCAAATTGTCACAAATACAGGCCGAAGGTCCACTTCCCTTATGATTTTGTCTTGTCAATTACAACCTGTGGTCAATTACCACCTGTGCAGTGCTGAAATTGAGGTTCAACCATAAAACCAATTGGCAATATGTGGAGTAGCTCAAGATCATATAAGCACATAGCAAACCTTGTCCCTCACTGATGTGGGACAACTCTCAACACGCCCCTGCATGCGTGGTGGATTTTTAAGCCTACACGTGGACAACAACTGCATGACGTAGAGCGCGTGTGGCCGTTTGGCTTCACACAAGGACAACTTGCTCTGATACCATGATGAAATTGAGATTTCATTATAAAACCAATTGGCAATATGGAGAGTAGTCCAAGATCATATAAGCACATAGAAAACCTTGTCATGTGGGACAACTCTTAACATGCAGTACGTGTGAGGTTTTATAACAAAAACCCCAGTGTTAGTTGGAGTGAGACTAATAACTTGTGATATTTTAACTTCATTTTCTCATGGAGACGGCCGACGTGGGATAACACATACCATTTTTGAGCCTTCATTCAAAGTTGTCAATGGTGACGGATTTATCAAATCGAATGTTGAAACAATCTATGCAGATTCTGGAGGACGAGAATATGCGTCAGACGATTTCCTAAAAAAATCACTGCAAACAAATGGTTTGATTGGAATCTCCAAACAAAATCTAACAACACAACAATCTAGCAGATAAATCTTAAAAATTTGGAGAATATTCTGACGGAAGAAAATGCCAATTCAACACTTACCAGGAAAAGATGCAAAGTCCGAATCCACGGCAACAAGAAATGCACTTGAGAAAACACACCCACCACCTTTCCTTCCTCAAATATTCCCACCACTTGAGAAATATTCTCACATTCTCTAAATTAAAAATTCCTCTCTCGTAATATAAATTAAGTCAAACTATGAATCATTTGATTCACAAACAGCAAAATCCTGTGAGATTTTGTCTCCCAGAGTCTGTTGAAAACAATGAAACTCGCGAAGTTCAGGAGGACCCACCTTGAGGAGACACTCCCGGAGTGGAGGGACAAGTTCCTCTGCTACAAGCTCTTGAAGAAGCTCCTCAAGCACTTGCCCGCCACCGTGGCAACCATCGCCGCGGTGGATTCTCTCCCTCGCCACCTCGAGTTTCTGCCGGCAAATGCACATTTGGCCGTTGCTGATGGAAGTGGCGAGTTCCATCCCTTGGGGGAACTGTTCGTTCCGATTCTGAATGAGGAGCTAAAGAAGTTAAACGATTTCTATGTTGATAAGAAGGAGGAGTTCGTTATACGATTCCAGGTTCTTATGGTTGACTTTTTTTTCTTCTTATTTTCTTGAATTTGCATGTGTGTGTGTGTGTATGGGCTTTAATTTGGATGGGTAGTTGATGGATTTGGCATGCCCGTTATGGATGCTACAAAAATTCTATCTTTTTCTTTTTGTTAACGGATTGGATTAGATAACTCACCATATTTAGCTTATGTTGAGTAAAGAAAGGGAAATTTTGTCCGGGTTGATGGTAGGATTGGGAGGGAGAAGTTTCCTTGACGGGGGAATTTGGAATTTGCATCCATTTCTACTTTAAATCTAGTGAGTTATCCAATTCAATCATGGACACCAAAGGAGACCTTAGGATCTCAAGATAACTGATAGGCACGAGTAGTAGGAGGATGGCATCTGCAAATTTTAGCTAAAACAAATATGAGAATATTCATGTCCGAGGGACACCTAAATTAAAGCTAGGCGGTGAATTGTTAGTTAATTCGGGCGGTCATGTGAATGTTTGAAGATGGTTAGGAGTGAAATTACAGCGGTACGAGACATGCCGCTGTTATATGTATGCGTTTTTAGGCAATTGAGAAACAATATGAGTGTAAGGATTGTGTGTGGCTGGAGCGATTTGTTGAGATAGAGTGGTGCCATCGATAATGAAGGAAAACTAGCTAGGGAAGTTTTAACTATTTCGTCTTGAACAGGTCGAGTCTCAGCTAGTTGAATTTCTCTTTTAATCATTAAAGTCGAGTACTTTTTTCTCTGAACTAAGATATCTATTGTGGATGAACGAACAGTGTGTAAATCGAAGTCTGTATATGTGTTTTTTGTTTCGCTTAATATTACCCCTTTTTCTTTTTCCTGGTTATCTGCTTATGTTTGGTTGAAAATTGTAGAGTTTATTGGTGTATTAGTTTAGTGTCTGGTAGGAAAATCTTTATGATGGGAGCAATTTTCTGGTCAATGCAGAGTCATCTGCACAGCATGAATGTTGCAATGCGATTTTTGGAATGCGAAGGCAACTATCGTTTCTCTTTTCTCTTTTCTCATCTGCAAACGGCAATAATGACAGGAGCTGAAAGGAAGAATCGAGAGCATCGGGGAAAGGAGCAGCAGTGGTGGAGTTTTTACTTCAGAGACCTTCAGGAAAGAAGTGATGGACATCCGTAAGGACTTTGTCACCATTCATGGGGAGATGGTGCTTCTCGAAAAACATAGCTGGTGGAATTTTAGAGGTACAGCAGCTATTTCTTTTCACCTTCCATATCTAACCTGTATTGTACAACCGTTAGCATCAGTGAATTTCTTCGTTCTATATCTGCGTTATCTATTGCTAAAATCAGCTGTGTCTTCTGGCTAAATAGCGCTTGTCAAAATTCTAAAGAAGTACGGTAAACGAACTGGAGGAGTGTTGCGTTTACGTTTCACGCAACTAGATCACCAGCCTCTCTTTACAACAGAAACTCTCACGAGGCTAGTCCGTGAATGCGAGGCAACTCTCGAGCTTCCCTTCCCATTGGAAGCAGAAGTCATTGAAGGTACAACAACCACACAAGTGAAACCACTGTTGAATAGTAAGTTGTGAGCAGATTAGCATTAGAGAAATAAAGCCTTGTGTTTTTAATTGTGTATTCACTATTGTCAAAGAATGACAAGTGTAAGGCTCTCAACGTAAGGCTATGATTGTCATGTGTTAGAATCCTAGACTACAGAAAAATGAATAGCTGAGATCACTTTGATGAATGTGTGAGCTCCAGCTGCATAACCAACCGTTGTAGTGCTCGAGTTGTGTGCAAGAGAGAAAAAAATATGAAATTCTCCTCTGTGACTTGCAAAGGCTGAAGCATTCCAAAATCTTGTGTGAAGATCCTTATGTTCTTCTTCATTTTTCGTAGTGAATTCCTCAATCAAACTTACAAATATCAAATACACTAACATGGCCTCAATCTAAGCTAAGCGTGAACTGTGAATTTAAGCTTCACCGATGTTACGTTTTCTGAGCTACATCTGGGCTGGCTGAAGGTTAGGTGAAGTTTGCCGGGAGTTCAGTTGTGGTTTGAAAATACATCTGAGCTCACAATGGCTGGATCTGGAAGTTCAAAAGTTAGGACTCCGATCTTCTCCGGTGAGAACTATGAGTTTTGGAGAATCAAAATGGTAACCATATTCAAGTCACATGGGCTATGAAAATTGGTGGAGAAAGGGATTACGTTCCTTGACTCGGAGAAGAAAAAGAAGGTAGAAGGTATCGAAGAAGAGGTTGATGATGAGCTAACCATTGCGATGTTTATGAAGGATGTGAAAGCTTTGGGCATCATTCAAAACGCAGTTTCTAATCAGATTTTCTCTCAAATTGCCAACACAGATTCATTAAAATGGCTTGGGATTTGTTGTATGGAGAATACCATGGCGGTGATCAGGTACGATCGGCGAAACTTCAAAATCTCATACCTGAATTTGAATATACTAGAATGCATGATGACGAGTCTTTACCTGGGTATCTTACTCGATTAAATGAATTGCTTAATCAAGTGAAGACATTTAGAGAGATTCTCTCAAATGAGAGATTAGTGCAGAAGGTCTTAATTAGTCTCACTAAGGTGTGATCCTATATGCCTAGTGATAGAAAACACTAAGTGTCTAGAATCTGTTGAACTACAAGAAGTTGTAGCCATTTTGAAAAGTCAAGAACAAAGGTTTGATACGCATTCCACTGATGCAACTGAGATGGCATTTGCCTCATCCTATATTAGTCCAAAAAGGCAGAATAAAGGTAATGCTCCATCTATTACTTTCAAGCCACAGAAAAATTGGAACCAAAAAGTTAAGAAATGGGACTGAAAACCCAGCTTTTAGCATAAGTTATTTGCTAGTCCTGCACAAAATATGAACCTTTCTCAAACTATAGATCAAGAGAGTGTAAAACCTCAGTGTAAAGTATGTTCAAAGTTTCACTTTGGTGAATGTTGGTAAATCCAAATGTCACAACAGTGATAGGTTTGGACATTGGGCTAGATACTACACTGCAGGTAAAATTGTCCAGAAATCAAATTGTGCAAATCAAATGGAGGTGACTGGAAATCTCTTTTATGCAAACAATGTTGTTACTTAGCCAAAGGTCGATGGGGACTGGTATATAGACAGGTTGCAGCAATCACATGATAGGGAATGTAATGTTCTTGTGGATGTGAAAACAAATGTTGCATAAAAGTTCAAATGTCAACTGGTGTGCTAGTGAATGTAGCATAAATGGGATCATTGGTAATTGAGACCAATGGAGGCATGAAATATGTTAGAGGAGTCATGTATTTACCTGGTTTAAAAAAGAACTTGCTGAGTGTTGGGCAAATAGATTAACATGGGTACCATCTTGTGTTTGGAGGAAGGATGTGTAGTGTCTTTGACAGCCTTTCACTTGACAGTCTCATTATCAGTGTAAAAATGAAAAGGAACATGAGTTATCCTTTATCTCTAATGCTTAAGTTGTTCTGAAAGCAAGCACTACTCATTGTACTTAGACCTGACATAGAAGATTAGGTCACTTGTACTTCACTTGTACTTTGAAGGACTCAAATAACTGAAAGATAAAGACATGGTTCAAGATCTACCACATTTGGAAGAGTATGATGGAGTATGTGAAGGCTATCAATTTGGTAAACAACACAAAGAAAGTTTTCCAAGTGATCAAGCCTAGAGAACTAATGCTCCACTTGAATTGATTCTTGTTGACTTGTGTGGTCCTATGAGGAATGAGTCCATTACTAGAAACAAGTACTTCATGCTTCTCATTGATCACTCTACTAGAATGACTTGAGTATACTTCTGTATAAATGTGATATTTTCAATTGTTTCAGAAAATTCAAAGCTATGATTGAGTTACAAAGTGGGTTCAAAGTGATATGTTTGAAAAGTGACAGATGAGGGGAATTCTCTGTCCACTGAGTTTAAGCAGTTTTGTGATACTGAGGGAATCTAGAGACAACTTTCGTTAGCCTACACTCCTCAACAAAATGGAATGGCAGAGAGGAAGAATAGAACAGTGGTTGAAATGGCCAAATCAATGTTACATGATAAAGGAATGCCATATTATTTATGGGCAGAAGTTGAACATATAGTAGTTTACATCCTAAATCGATGCCCTACCAAGTCTCTAGATAACATAACTTCTTTTGAAGGCTATAGTGGAAGAAAACCAGGTATTGCTCACTTAAAGGTATTTGGCTCCTATGTTATGTTCATATACCATATAAGTTAAAACATAAGCTTAAAGCAAAGAGTACTAAATGTGTGTTTATTGGATATGCAACATGTGAGAAAGGATATAAAATCTTTGATCCAATCTCTTAGAAGTTAATTCTATCAAGAGATATTGTAGTAGATGAAAATGCTAGCTTGAAACTAGGAAGAAGGCACAGAGAAGTATGTGTCATTGCCTGATTGTGAGTGGAAAACTATTGATGCACCAAGAACCAGAACTGTGGAAGATGAGTTTATTACTTCAAGTAGCTTGTCACCAGCTATACAAAGGGAAATCCCTTGTAGTCATGATGTTGTTCATACTTCTTCACACCAACTTTCAAGTGAATCATCCAACAACATAAGTGGGAATGTGAGAGACAATCAAGCTTTTGAGCACACTCCTTTAAAATGGAGAAACTAAATGATGTGCTTACTTAATGCAATCTGTGCATTATGGAACTAGAAAATATGAGATGCTGCTCAAGATGAATCTTGGATGAAAGCTATGAAAGATGAGCTATCAATGATTGAAAATAATGCAACTTGGGTGTTAGTGGACAGACCAACATATAAGCCTATTATTGGAGTTAAATGGGTTTTCAAGACCAAACTTAATCTTGATGGATCTGTGTAAAAGAACAACGAAAGGCTTGTTGAAAAGGGATATGATCGAAAACCAAGAGTAGACTATAATTAAACATTTGCACCTGTGACTAGATTGGACACAATTAGAACTCTTGTTGCTTTGGCTACCGAAAAGAGTTGGAAACTCTAGCAACTTGATGTTAAATCTGCTTTCCTAAATGGTCTCTTTGAGGAGGAGGTTTATGTGGATCAACCTGATGGTTTTGTGATCAAGGAAAGAAAAGACGAGGTGTATAAACTTGACAAAGCACACTATGGATTGAAATAGGCACCAAGAGCCTGGTATGGAGAAATTGACACCTACTTTGCACAGTGTGGATTTGAGAAAAGTCAAAGTGAAGCAATTATCTATATCAAGACAAAGGGAGAAGAAGAAATATTGATTGTATCTATCTATGTGGATGACATAGTATATATTGGTAACAGTAATGAGATGTTGGAAGAATTTAAATGAGATATGATGGTTAAGTATGGAATATCATATTTGGGCCTTTTTCACCAGTTTCTTGGTATGTGAAGCATTCAAACTCACTCAAGTATCTTTATTCACCAAAGAAAGTATGTTGCTTCTTTGCTGAGTAAATTTGGCTTAAATGAGTGCAAATCTGTCTTCACTCCTCTTGTTTCATTTGAAAAACTTTGCAAGATGATGGAAGTAGGCCTACAAGTGAAGAACAATACAGAAGAATTGTGAGAAGTCCACTATATCTCACTGCTCTAGACCAGATATAATGTATACAGTTAGTCTTCTTGTTAGGTTCATCCTACAAACAAGTACTATGAGACTGCCAAAAGAGTACTTAGATACATCAAGGGAACTCTAGATTATGGTTTGGATGATGTGAAAGGAAATAATGCTATGTTAATAGGATTTTGTGACATTGATTGGGATGGATCTCTTGATGACAGCAAGAGTACCTCTGGTTATGCATTTTCCTTTAGGAGTGTGGGGTATTTTCTTGGGCCTCTATAAAACAAAATTGTGTGGCACTTTCCACTGCAGAGGTGGAATACCTCAAAGGCATAAGCCACTGCACATGAAAGATGGCTTAGTTTTGTGCTTGAAGATTTTGGACAGTTTTAAATTGAAGCAACTCCATTGCAATGTGACAACACAACTGCAATTGCAATTACTAAAAATCTTGTGTTTCATCAGAAGACAAAGCATATTGATACAAGATATCACTTCTTCAAGGATGCTTTACAGGAAGGGATAATTAACTTGGTGTATTGTCCTACAAATGAACATATGACAAATATATTCACTAAGGCTTTAACCAAGGATCGGTTAAACTACCTTAAGGACATAATTCGTGTGGAATCAGCTCAAAATTTAGAGGGAGTGTTGAATTGTAAGTTGTGAGCTGATTAGTATTGATGAAATAAGCCTTGTGTTTTAATTGTGCATTCACTTGTGTCAAAGCATGACAAGTGTAAGGCTCTCAATGTAAGGCTATAAATGTCATGTGTTAGAATCCTAAACTATAAGAAGATGAATGGCTGAGATCACTTTGATGAACATTTGAGCTCCAGTTGCATGACAAACCGTTGTAGTGCTCGAGTTGTTTTCAAGAGAGAGAAAATATGAAATACTCCTCTGTGACTTACTGAGGCTGAAGCATTCCAAAATCTTGTGTGAAATTCCTTTTGTTCTTCTTCATTTTCCATAGTGATTTGCTCAATCAAAACTTACAAATATCAAATAAACTAATAACCCCCTCCAGACAGAAGTCATTCAAACCCACAATCGAATGATTCGGCAAATATTGCATCTGAGACACCTTCAAACATGGAGGCAAACATAAATATATATCGTGGAACCGTTGCTGCAATGAAGGCCATTCAAGGCCTTCAAAAACCAAGCTCCACTGCCGGTCCATGGTCACTTTCAAATCACTTTAGAAGCCAGGACGAGGAGAGCACTGGCGCTGTCAAAGTTGAAATCTCTACTTCAAACTCTGTAGCGAGCTGGCAAAGCGAAGAGGAGGATGACCAGTTATAGTATTATCCATCGGTTTCTGTAGTACACCCTCCGTTTCTGATCAAGAGAACGACAGTGTACGTAACAGCGTTCATCTTATTAGTTTCAGCGTTGTCTCGTACGTTCTTGTTTTCGATTCTTGTAGCAACTGGAATCGTAAAAAGGTTCTGAATTGTAAACTTAGCACATCAAATAAGCTGTGAGCCGATGGAGAAATTTATCATAGCATAATGTTGTGCAGTTTTCTAAATAGCATCTGCTTGAAATTTATAATGTTGTACTAGATTCTGCCCTCTCTGTTACCTTTCTTTATGGTCCATTTATTATGTGTAGGAATTTTGGCACACGTTATTATGCATATAAAGAAACAAGTGCGGAAATTATTTTCCTTTGTTGTTGCATTTTTGTAGCATAGCAGTAGCACAGTAAGAATGACAATTGTTTTTAATACCCTATAACTCCAACCACAATTAATGGAGAAAATTTTCAGTGTGCCGAGAATAAGATCCATATACCAAGTGTCATAATACTGGTTGAATTTTTTTTTTCAAGTATCCAAACACTTGTATTATAACATTTGATGTACTTATTCCCAACACACTAAGAAATCTCCTATTAGGGGAGTCTCGTCCCTCATGGTTATCAAGTGACTAAAGAATGTTCTCGTAGTTATTAGGTGATTAAAGAATACGTGATCACTACCATTAAATTTGATTAAAATTTACAATTAAAACACTAGGAACGCATCCCTTAATATCAAATTCAACTGCGAATGTGCATTTTTTGGTTATCTTGTGACCAAGAAAATATTTATGCTACTAGAGAGTGGAGAGTAAACCCAACTAAAAAAAATTTCCACTTCTTTGTTGGGTCCTTATCAAATTTATTGGTCTTCTTTTTGGAAGACAAAGGTAAGGGTTGGGACCAATTGGTGGCCTCCTCCATTCTTCTCTATTATTGGATACCAATCTCTGGCTGCTCTACTATTTAAGAGCATCTCTAAAAAAAATGTCAAATATAATATGTTAAAATTTTATTTGATGGCTGCTGTGGCAAATTGAATATAAGTACTAAATTCTTTTCTTTTCCAACGGATGTGTTAAATATTTATTTTATTGGACCTAGAGTTACATTAATTATTAAAAAATAATCAAAATTAATTTTTATTCTATTGGTTAAAAAATTCAATTAAATATATTTGACTCCTTCTTTGTTTGCTGTAAAAAAAATGCAGCTAGAAAGTAAGGAGTCAAATGATTTACATGCCACATCATATATGACATATCCATTGAAGAACATCTAAATGTGTTTTAATCATATTTGACATATTTGACATCTCATTTGGAGATGATCAAAGTGGCATCAACTTCAATTATATCCACAGGTTTTTGGGCCCCCAAATTAACTGCAACTACTAAATGGGCGGCCCCCCCGGGGTGGGGGGGGAGGTGGAGATCAAGTTGGGTGCTGATCTTACAAGCCTCTGCTTCTACACGTGGACACAGCCATGTTGGTTGGAGCATGATGTGTTATCGTCATGCACCTGAATTCTCTTCCGCAATTTAGATTAGTTTAAAATAGAATATTGCTGGTACGAGAAAAAAGTCGGAAAACGCTTTTAACACTTGATAACAAAGCAAGATAGGGTATGTTCACTTTCCTTTTTGTTCACTCTTCTAAACAAAATTGAAGAGAACAATCACAAATTTGAAACTAATATGTGATGATACATGTTCAGCTGCTCCTGGTGTAATCACGTTCATAGTTGAAGGGTAGGGGTACAGACTTGAACGCTCGATACTTTCCGACATTGTTCAAGTGCTCATTCTCCAACCTGCTCAGAAAAAAACATTGAATGGTTAGTAGTCGATACAAGTTCAAGTTGTTCGGTTATAGAGGATTAAGTACTGAGAGGAGTAGAACATACCGAAAGAAGTTCCATATGCCACGACGAATGATTTCTAAGCAGGCAACTATCGCAGTCAAGGCTGTTCTATGGACGAAAGGCACTCCTCTAATTCCCAGTACTGACTGCATCCAAGCGAGTCTTAGTACAACATTCAACACCTGCATGTCGCATTATTCAAAATTAATGTTAAACGAGAAGGAACGAATGGCACTCCATAAGGGCTGAAGAAGTCAGTTTGTAAGTTGTAATCCTACCATGGCTACGAAATAAACACTCTGGTTTGATACAAGGAGTTTGTCTCTCAGCCAAGGATTTTTAGAATTTCGTTGCAGAAGACCCCAATCGATGACAATGTCCCAATATGTACCAACAGCAGTTGCCACAACTGAACTAACTATAGCGAGGATTTTCGATGTCATCCCTGCTTTCAGATCATAACTTGTTCTCATGGCTACTGCAACGATTGTTGAGAAGTATTTCAGCGCATTTAACCCTTGCATTCCATCTTTCTCCTCTATCAAGCGTCGCACACACTGCAAACAAAGAACAGTTAAAACCATACTTTCATGAGGAGGAATTAAACAGTTTCGAGCGCAGAATACCTGAAGCGAACGGATCCAATAAGGAATAATTGCTACAACGAAGTAGAAGGATTTAAAAACATGGCTGTCGAGGCAGTTGTGTGATCTTTTTTTGAAGTCCCCCCAACCGTAATAGCAAACATAGAATTCCAAACTCCTGAAAGCTTGAACCTGAATGAAAATGTACAATGTTACTCGATCATAAGCAACACAAGTATCAATACACTAAACGAATCATAGGTAGTGTCAATACCTGGCTAGTAAGCTGATCTGCCAAGAAAAAATCCGGCAGGGTAACCTACCAAAAAAACAAACAAAATTTTAAAGTCTCTTTTACTTAAAACGTATTTGAATAGTATGTCCACAGGAAGAAGTTCGGCTCTGGTTACCTTATAAAGAGGAGCAAGAAGACAATGGGATAGGCATAGAAGGAGGAAATATCGACTGGAACGATATATAACGTTGAAAGGACAAAATATTATAAGAAGCAAAACCTGCAAATGTAATTTCCATGAAAGAGATTCATGAGCAAACTGTTTTAACGAAGGAAATCCGTCTTATTGAAGAATCTAACTCTTACAACGACTAGGCCCAGGGGGACTAATTCTTTCAAGGCGACGAAGCTTTTTGTTCTTGGATCCAACTCCATATCCAAAGTTGAGACGACACCAGCCAATGCGAGAATTGCAATACCTGAACTGAGAAGGAAAAGCTGTCTGTAACCAATCTCTGACCCTTGCTTGAAGCCAAAGATAAATGGATAATTTACACGATAGCGCCTCCAAAAGAATATGTTTGCTGAGAACATGATCAGATGTAGGACGACAAATCCAAACAGGCTGCAAATGTGGGGAAATGAACGATTGTCATGAAACGAATAGCTATGCAGGTTTAAATTTCTCCACAGATGTAGATATGATGAGATAACTATTATGCAAAACCTTGCCTGTACAGGGGAAATATGTTTTCCATGTACAGAACACGCCCGTCACTCTCAAGGATATTTCTTGCATGCATAAGCACAATGATAGCTACTACAAGTGCAATGGAGCCCCCGGAGAGCAACCCTGTAGGTACACAACAAATGATCATCGATATCTTGCATAAGGTCCACTCGATATGGAAACTAAGAGAGAACAAAGAACTTTTCATTCCGACAGCACAAATCTTACCCAAGAAATATGTACTTCTATGCTTTTCCCTTCTAGCTTTCGGTCTTAATGTCTTCATTCCTTTTCTTCGATTTCCATTTGCGAAGTGCTTTATGAAGGTAGCCTCCACCCTTTCCACAAGCCTAGTAACCTGCGAAGCCAAAAGATGTATCATAAAAATAAATAAAAAAGCTTTATACGGGCAATGGTTTGGATTCATAGTAATCGTTTGGATCATAAGACAAAGATTTACTCACTTCATCAGTGCTACCCAGATAAGAATTATCCACCATATTCAAGTAAACCTTCGACGCATTCCTCGAACAGACCTTGTCATATTTCTTCATGATCTTCGAGAAAGCCAATTGATTAAGGAAACTGCACCGTCCATTAGCAATATAATCAATCACACACAACACTAACTTTAGTTCTATTAATGTAATCAGGAACTGCAATGTTACCAGTAGCTTTTTAAAAGCCGGAGCTTTTGGTAAAACTCGCTAAAAGCCTGTCTCATTTGCTCTTCTACTTTCCTCAGCTCATTCTTGCTGAATGACAAGTAATTCTGCTGGAATATGCTTTTAATTGTTGACACTGGAGTTTCAGGTATCACGTTGATCCTTATATGATCTAGAACCTCTAGTTGTAGTGGTTTAAACCCCTGAATATCCACCGTCCCTCTGTTGGCTTTCCGGTCATCGGTTTCCGATTCTTTGCTTCCCCTCTCTTCATCATCTTCCATTTCTTCTTCATCGCTCATCTCAACTTCGTTAATCACATCCATATCTTCTCCCCCTTCGCAATCATGACCAGTACTTCAAAATATTAGGCAAAAAAAAGAAAAACATATCATATATTTTACTAATTAAAAATCTTATGCGCCTCTTTTCACCTTCTGCACTCCTCTTAATTATGTTATTGATTCTCCTTGATCAGTTACAGCTCCGTAAAGAGACGGGAGTGCAGAAAGTGAAAAGGGGAATTCGGAATATCACTTGCCTCCCCAAGTGAACAAAAAAACTACTTCACAGAAAATTTCAAACTCTCAATCACGGAATCTACTAAGAAAACAAGAGAATCAGAAAACCTACCTGTTTTTCTACCACTTGTGGGATGAACTGCTGAGACTGAAGAAATCCCATTGCTTGCCAAATCACTCCCTCCAATATCCACCTCTGGATTATCAACCTTTAACCTAAGAGCAATCAAAGCATCCATCTGCCTACTCAACTCCTCAGCCTCTTCCACGACTTCCCCAACTTTCTTCTTGTAAAAGCAATTCACCTTGTTAAACTCATCGTCCAGGCTCCTAAAAAACGCAACCTCAAACTCTCCTCCCTCGTCGTACGGCATCAAAAACCTTGTCTGCCACTGCCCTTCCTCACCTTCTTCCCCCACAAGTATCTCCTCGTCCTCCTTCTTCCTCAGCGAGCCGCGTTGCCGGCTTGTCAGCCCGCTGAATGCTCTGTAGAGTGACACCCTCCTCTTT